GCACTTTGCGGACGGACAGCACGTACAAACCGACATACATACATACATACATACCGACAAACCGACACACAAAGTTTCTGCTTTATAGAATGTACTGTAAAAGTTTTTCTGGAGCACACTACTGCGCTCCTAACGTGATATAAAGCAATGCAACATGATTTACTACAGTAAATCACGGCTAATGCCAAATTCTTGTGCTTTCCCATGTAACTTTCGTTGGTTTTTTCGTGATTCTGCTGCGGATTTTCTAAAGTGCACAACGCTCGCGTGAGATGCCTTTTATAGTTCATTCATTATTTTTTATTTTTATATTTCATTCATTATTATTCATGACTGTATCGTTGAGTCTTTCTCTCATCCAAAATGCCGCTATCACCCTACCTTTACCGCGCAATATCATACATGTGGTCCCACCCTCCAATAAGTTTCTAACAGAATCAAGTCATTTTTTGTCTTTCTGTCTTTTTTGATTGCCGATTTTTCCGTTTCACCCTTCTTCCTACTCTCCACCCCGCTCGACATGCACTACTGCAGTAACTTCATTATACTCTAAGCCTACAGTACAATGCTAGCTGTAAAGTTATGAAAAATATATAGGCTCTAATCTATTCTTATCAATAGCTTTAACCGCTTGCCACCCGTCACCAATGTCCATATCACCAAATCTGTGCGATTTGGTAGTGTGGAAGATGTACAATCTTGAACTTGAAAAAAGTTGAGCCGCTTCTCAGCCTATAGCAGTGGCTATCCCTCTATGTCACTCATCCGTTACTATGTAGTGGTATCCGTTACTTCCCTATTTCACTTGTTGGAACCAACTTTTCTACCGATACTGTGTTGGGCGCTGTTCAGACGCTGCAGCGCTTGACTTTCAACTCCCCCTATCATACCTCAAAAATTCTTAACGCGCCCTGCCACCGATCGATGATATTCTTGTCCTATAGCTTACATCGTGTCTTGGAACCAACGGTCGCACCGTTATTGGGACCGGCGCTATGAATTTGGTGACATTCCCTTTATAGGGCCTCTTATCAGCCCTTGCCAATCGTTATCACTTCCTGTCACCCATCATCCGGTTTTCGTGGTTTCCGCTATATCGCTTATCAATTTGAACTTTCTTTGACTACATCCAAGTGAATTATGGATTTCCGTTAAACACACCTACACTAACAGACAGACTTGACGTTGTAGCGGACTTTGCGGTACAAACTTATCGCAATCAGCATTTACTCTCTATTATCCTTTCTCGACACCAACATTCGATGTCACCATCCTTTATACCAAGTTATAAGATGGCGCTTATGCTTTGAAGCCCTTGATCATTCCCTATCGGTTGTTTACCCTTTTATGTCGCGTGCGATGAAATACATCAGTCATTGTGGTTGCAGAGTCCCATTTAGCATTCGAGCAGCCTATATACCGCTCCTCCAAAGTGGAGAATGGCGCAAATCGAGGGAAGACGTCTGTCCCCTGGATCTCAATTTAGCTGATCTGCACTATTCCACCTGGCCACAACCCACCAGCCTACTCGACGATTTTCCATAAAGTTATAGGATTTGTGGCATTCCTCAGGTCTGTGTGAGGCATGCTGAATTCAGCTCAGCTTCTGAGCACTCTAGTCACATGCGCTTCTTTCCAGTGCATGCAGCTGTAGATATCAATACATATTCATTTCGGAGGGATACTTCGGTTTCCCTTGCTATCATTTGCTTTTCCAATTTCTCACCTTGTATCAATTATCTTAACAGCAGTGTTTATTTTGTTGTCAGCCAGTCCTTTCATCACTTGGGAATAAGAACCCTTTCCTAAATGGATGCCATGAGACTTCAAGGTTAATAACTTTACCATCAAATTCCTTTTCACGATAAAGATGCCGGCAATGTTTGTTTAGTATATTGCTGTAGTTATTTCAGTGCTGGATGCAGGAGTATGTCCAGTGCTCACCGAGAAATTCATTAATCTTGATTCGATGATCTCTTTCTAGTCTAACGAGGAGAGACTTATAGTCGGGATCAGCATCCATTGTTTCTGCAAATCAGGCTTTAGTGAACTATTCGCTAGATATTGTGAATATATTCGCTAGAGTTTTTTTAAGAACAAAGACGACTCAGAAAAACTCCGTTAAGACAGAAGTGGTTGTCGAAGCCTTGGACAATCAGGCTGTTTCTACTCAGTACATCCGGATTCTTCGTGAGCTCCACAGCAATTCGCAACAAGGATAATTCTACAAGGAGATCACCGTCGACATGAAGCGAGGCTCCGACATCTTGCCCAAGCTGATGAGCGCCTCGCTCGCGAACCTCATGTATCAGCTGGAATGGGAAGACTTGGGAGGGAAGATCGACGGCCGGCCACCACACCATCACCGCTTTGCTGACGACATCGTTTTGATAGCACCAAACATCGAGCAAGTGGAGCGAATGCTGGCTGATTTCAACTGCGCAGGAGAAATCGGTCTACAGCTGAATCTAACGAAGACAATGTTCGTTCGTTCGACGAAGTTTTCTCGCTGAACGGAATTAATATCTCTGAATGCTCTAGCTGTGTTTGCCTGTGTCAGGAAATCAACATAATGAATGGCTTAGCACCTGAGCTGAACAGGAGGAGCGAGCGACTTGGAGAGCTTCTCGAGAACTTCGAGCGAGAAGCAAAAAAGACGGAGAACCCAAGCCTCATGCCCACCTCTTCGATTCCGCGGACCTCCTGTTTTAAATTACGCCTCGAAATTCGGACTCTAAGGAAGCAGAATGAACATGCGATCAGCGTCATTCAGCGCGCCAAATAAAGGACTGCTGCTGCTCGGAGTTTCTCGCTATGCACAGGAGAGAGAGACGGAATCCAGAATTGAGTCTTCCGTCGATCGGAGATCAGTAACGCAGGCACGTCGTTCTCGGCACACCACATCTTCGAAATCATCTCTGATCCCTGATTTTGAAACGACCGCTGAACCCTAGCGATTACCGGTGGATTCAGCGGGACCTTAAACAAACACCTGGACGGCCGACCATCGGGCCCCTCGAGCAAAGTGAACCCATTGGGCAACTCTAGCAGGTTGCAGGGACGTATGGAAACGCCATTGGCGCCCGCTCGAGGAACTCCTGATCAACAGAGGCACGGCTCAGAGATGATTCAGACGATGAAAACTCAGTGCTCCCACAATCTTTCTACCGCTCCCTTCAACGGTAGTTTCACTAGAAAACGTTTCGATCCTGACTGAACACTACTACTACTGAACGCTAAACGAACCGCTGTAGCTTTCACCTCCTTAACACTACCATTACAAGCCTCCACACTGCGAAAAAAATGGTTTTTGGGACTTGAAGGGCTTAGATCAACGGGCAGTGTTTGTGGTCCATCATCGTGATGGCTACTCAAAACGTGCGTTCCCACGGCACCATTCCGTATGCTGTTGTAGTTGTTGTTGTTTGTTCCAAGGAGTGGATAGTTTTGCAGAAATAAATACTTTGAAAATAGCAGATGATGTACCATGTACTCTTCGAAAACACGCTTGATAGCTCACGTCTGGGGTACAATTCCAAATCTGTTCCTCCTCTACTCTCTACGAACGGTAAATTGGTACCCTGGGCCAGTGCGATTCTGAATGGAAGTGAAATGCGTGCCGCATTCCGAGGAGGGATAGGTCAACAGCAAAAACTTTATCTTTATTTTTATCTTTATCTCTATACTGGAAGATTCATTTTGTGAGTGTTTGTTTGTGCGAATGCAAAAGAGTCTGCCGTTTACTGGAGTGCTCCTCTCTTGCAATGACGTAACTCTTTGGATGATATAGTGTAGTTCATTGCGGACGGTTGGGCGTGTTCGTGGCGGCTGCGTTTGGCGCGATGCCAAACTCGTTCTCCACGAGTTGTTTGAGGCGAGCAAACGACAATACTATCAATACCTTTCGTATTACTTGTTTTCTACTGCTTTTTGTCGCATCCCCGTTTCAACAAGAAGGCAGAGGAAAAGAGGGTAACACACTCATACTGGCTGACACGCCCAACCGTCCGCAGCGAAGTAGAGTGTATGTATACACCACAGCCGAAACAACATACACCCTAGTTCGTTGCGGACGGTTAGGCGTGTCACGCAGTATGAATGTGTCGCATAACCGTTCTCTGCCTTTTTCTTGAAGCGCACATGCGACAAAGTGGTAGAAAACGAGTAATACGAAGGAAATGATATAGTCATGTCATTTGCTCGCTTTAACAACTGGTGGGTAACGGTTTTGGCGCCGTGCTAACATCATCCCGCCTGACACGTCCAACCGTCCGTAGCGAACTACACTATAGTATAACTCTCCCACTTCGAGGGGTACGGTAAGGAAGCTGCAGCGGAAGAATGGTCATGATTTCCTGGACGTAGCTAGTGGATCTACTTGACGACATATCTCACGCCTTATTTCAGCGCTTTTAGTGACATCAGTTCAATGGTTTGGGACCCTGTTGAGTTGTTCCTGTGAGTCCTGTGAGATAAGTTGTTTCTGACGTGCCCCTTGCAGAAGGCGGCAAATAAACCTTCTGAAGACATTCGCCTACACACAAGACTGCAAGATGGCTACTCCGATGGTGTTTATAATGGAATTCAGGCATATTTAAGGAACTCACCTGTGTGCGCACTGGTTGATAATGTCTCGCCAGTCGACATTGCGAGACTTGGCAGCTCCTTCCCAACTGCAGACGATGGGACGGACAGGCCTTCCCTCCCGCACCGACTCTACGAAAATGAAGTACTTAATAAAGTGACTCTACTCACTTCACCGTGTGCTTATGTATCTCCAATCAGTCTCTGGTTATCTTTATCCAGCTATTTGTGCAAACATCCACGGCTAATAGCTGTTATCACGAACATTGCTACGAAGCTCACAGTATTCAGTTGAAACAGTATCATGTGATGCTAACCGGGCATCCTGCCAAGTACGACCCACGTTCCGTCCTCTGATACCTCCCTAAATCCCTCCTCCGATACGACCCGTTAATTCTCTCCTTTGACTACGCCCCCCCCCTTCCCATCCTGCCTACCCTTTTCCTAGTCTTTCTCAACTGCCTACAACTTTTCCCAGTTGTCCGATGGTGTTTAGGAATTCAGTTTATTCGGGATTTCCCGAAAATTTTCTGGTATTTTCCCGATTCTTGCCAGCGGGGGAGGGGGAGGGACGTCGTGGGCAACTAACTGCTGGTTTCAACTATCAAAATTAGTTAGGTGTACGGAGCCAGCAACTAGGCGAGGGGGTATACAGACATGTGAAACGAAACGGGAGAAACCGCGAAAAGTTGACAACCGAGAAACACCGTATGAATTTCCCAATGCTGCGACTTTGAGTGGCAAATACGAACTCCCTCCTCCTCCTCCTTCTCCTCCTCTCCCAAAAACGAACAGATATAATCTCTCCTTATAGCAGCCGTGGAACAGGTAAAATCAACCATCAAAAAAATCCTGCCAGACCAAATAGAGCCTCCCCCTCTTCCAGTGACCGAATACTACCCCTCCGCTGGGCATCCCTCAACGTGGTCTGGCTGCAATTCTCCAGACTCCCCACATTCTCTTATGGAATGTTGGTTCGTTTCAATACAGTTTCGTCCATACTGTCGATATTTCCATCTGGAAACTCTTTGAAGCTTTCCCTTATTCCTAGAAGTTGTTCAGATAGAAAACGCATAGCAAAAAGACATCTAAGAAAACACGCTCATTACGAAAAGCTCGAAAAATTGCCGTTGGATTGGATCAAAAGTAACCATCTCCTCCTTCAGACACGTCAACTTTCGAACGGGATCCGAAGCACTAGTCGTACTTTTCAGGAGTATCACCGGCGAAGACTGGAACGACATCATGCACGACTGCATGGTTGAGTCTTTTCCAAATAGCCAACCTCTTCTTCAAATACTCTGGATTTGCTCAGTAACCTCGCTTTGCAGAGAAGTCCACCATTCTGTTATTGGCAAGAGGGTATGAACTACTGGAATACCGACTGCGGAAACTACTATGGGGCTATCATCTACTTCTGCTCCTTTTACCTTATCATAACATACATTGTGAGGAATCTACTTGTCGGTAAGCTGCTCTTTTGTTATCTTTCTTTGTCACCTCACGGAAACTTCGTCTTTATTTCCAGCCATCATCATGGAAAACTTCTCTTTGTTTTATTCAAGTGAGGAAGATGCACTGCTCAGCTATGCTGATATCCGGAACTTCCAGGTTGCACGCTTTTGTAGCCAAACACAATTCACTTGAAGTACTGCACGTTTTCTTAGCCTCGTTCTTGCTTTCTCCAACGATACTCAGGCTGAGCTCATGATCAATCTTTCCCACCATTTATCATTTGTAAATCTGGAAGCTATACCGCTGAAGCTATGTCAAAAACCGCAAGGCCGCGTTCATACTTTTGCAGCAGCGACCACCAGCGTCCACCAGCGACCAGCAGAGTTTCGAGAGTCCGTCAGCGAACAGGAAAGTGTAGATATCGGCCTAGCGACCAGCGGCGTACACCAGCGTCCACCAGCGACCAACAGCGTCTTTAGGGTGAAGAGTCTAGGAAATAGGAAGGTAGCAGACAGCTACCCTCCTACTTCCCCACACTCTCTTCTACCTTATTATCTCCCCGTAGTCTACCAGCAGTCTTCTGCCCTCCTACCTCTCCATACTCTACCAGCTGTCTGCTGCCCTCCTACCTCCCCATACTCTCCACAACTGGACGCTGCTTGTCGCTGGTACACGTTGATGGACGCTGCTGCTCACTATATCGATACCTGCATTTCCATAGCCCCGAGACGCTGCTGGTCACTGGCGGACGCTGGTGAGAGCTCAGGCAAAGGGCGAACGCAGCCTAAGGTTAGGTGACATCTTGACCTTTTGTGAATGGTCCTGTTACGAAACTCTGTGACGCAGACGGATAGAGGGCAACGGCTGCCGAAGCATCGAAACGTTCAAAAAACGTACGGCAAGCCAGGAAACGGGGTTTTCTAAGTGGGGGGGGACTCCGAGGTGGGTGAGCTACTTATAGTTGGCGAAAAGCTGGGAGCGAAATCACAACGGCCATAGAGTGCCATGCGGATGAGCGAGTGCGGAGAAAAAGAGAGGATCGATGCGTTCAAGGGGATTGAGTTCAATTTGTCCGTAGACCAAGCCTAAGGCAATAACTGGTATTTTCCGGTGTTGCTGAAACGTGGTGTTTTGCTGAGGAACCACTTCAGCTAATTGTTTTGATTTTTTGCAAAAAAAGACGTACTACTTTGAGAGCGCCTGAACTCCTTTTACCTCTCCGGACTACTTTATTAGTTTCTAGATCTTTTACTTATTTGACAAAACACACAATATGCAAGAGCTTCCCCGGTCTTGAACCCAATATCATCTCATTCTCAATAGTTTAGCTTGTCTGGAACATGGTGGACCGCGAGCAGAAGCGATCTATACCGGTGGGCAGAGTCAAGTTTCTGTTGAGGTTGCTCAAGGTAACTGCTTGCCGCTATCACTGCATTTCGTGAATCACAAAACTCGCGTGTCAGTTGTCGGTATGTATATGAGAAAACGACCGCCAAGAAAATGTGAAAAAAGTAGTGGTAACAACAGGTAACCAGAGAAACATAGGGGGAGAGTGGATAGGGAGAAGGGCTATTTCTCTTCTTCAGCGTCCGTCCAGCCTTGATTGGAGTTCGGTCTTGTTATTTTGTGACAACACTTCTCCCGACAGAACGCCCGGTCAGGGTAGGTGACAACTTTCTTCAAATCCGCATGTAACGGGTCTAGCGAGCGCTATTCGTTCCTTGGGTCGCTTTTCGAGCACTTCGAGCTCAAGAGCGATCATGCGGACGGTGTCCGAATTAGCACGCAGTACGTGACCATAATCATGCGCATGATGTTGAATTTTCGCGCAGTGACCATACCAACGAATACGAGATATACGCACACCGAGTACGGCAGCTACAGTTATTGCGGACACGATCTATACGCGTGACTGCTGCCGCGAGCGTAATATTTCCATCTCGGCGCTTTTGTCGACGGGAGGAGCATTTTGTACTATCATTTGCTTCCTCAGTTCCAGTTTACATGTCTTACACTGGCGAAACCTGTGAACACTTGTGCAGCTGGAAGAAGGTAGTCAAGTCATCTTGTTAAAACCTGTCAACTCAAGAAGAGGCTGTCTAGATAGGCCGACACGTCGACTGGAACTAGCAAAAGTGCAAAAATGCCCCTCGTTGACAAACTGCGCCTCCATCTCCACCAGTCCAAGGCCTCAAGTTGCTTTGGTGGTGGGCCAGCATTCAGCACTGTATATCGCGTCCTGTCACAGACCTGCAGAAGCACAAGTGGATGTTCTGACTGTAGATTCGTGCGTTGACATGGCAGATTAAAACCTGTGGATTTTTTGTTTTTCTCGTCTTAGAGACAACTCCATTCGCTTCACTTCTTTGGTGCTTGATCTTTTCTGCTCCTCTAGTGCCATGGTAGTCTGCTGCTCTTCTATTAGCCTTTTTATCGAGAAAATCAACACTTGTTCACTAGCGTCACTAATGACCTCCATAAGTACTGCTTGGGGGGGTCTCATTCAAAATAATGTCAAATGTTCTTGTAACATCTCTTCGCAGTACTCGCATGTGCATTATTCAATACACACATCTAAGGCCTCTTGAGATCCCCATCCTTGTTACATAAACAGTAAGAGTAAGCATGCAGGATGCTTGTTTAATATCAAGGGGATGCTTTATGAAGCAACCAAGGAACTCGCCTTCTCACAGAAATGCTCTTGTCACAGTCGTCATTACTCAGGGTGAAACAAATTTTTTCTACATTTTTATCATTCTGATCCATTGTCTGCTTATATGCTCATTGCTCTTTTCTAGGGTCGTCTGGAAGTGGATCCAGAGAAGGACCGGGTTCTTTTCAAGCACATGTGCTATGAAATGGACAAACTACACAATGGTGACGATGTTTCGTTTCACGATGTGCTTTAGTTAGTTGTTCTTAACTACAATTGAATGCTCATAAATTGACTGAAATCGAAACAATCAACTGGAATGCATCCCAAAGTGCACGGGAGACGTTGCGTATGCGGCAATCTGCAAACACTATGTGCTTGCGATCAGGGCACATCATCGTTGGGGATTCCCCAACAGGGCGGGGGGGGGGGCGGAGAGTCATATAAGGTCGCTGGAAGAGGGAGTGGTCGTATTTGCTCGCTGTCAGGAGAGGGGGCGACGTGCCAGGCCACCCCTTAGAGGGGTTGCACGGACTCGACCACAATCCCCAGCCAATGTTCCCTGCATGCAGCCGGCTATGAAGCTCACGCTGCGATAAGCTTATTCGGTTACTAAATTAGATTGTGTCCACTTCAGTTTCCAGCCACGCTCTTCTCTGGTAGGACCTGGGTTGCCATGTCCACTAGTTTAGTTTTATTCGCATAACTACAGTGATTACAGTTTACATTACCGCGAATTTCGGGGGGGGGGGGGCAATCAGTGGTTGCCACGTTCAGTTCCTACCAGTGGCTGATTCCTTCCTACATCGATCAATGCTCAGTCACCATTGGTAGAGTGGGTTCGGACGCGCTGCGTTCGCCGCTCCCGACAAACTGCAGCGTAACAAACTATATATAGCAATTATGGTGCAGAGAAACCTACTCAGATTCTGCTTGCATTGAGCCCAAGTCCTTTAACAGCGCTCTCAAATACAAGTAAAACACAATTTCCTGGTGCGGATAACATTGGAGGTGCTACATAAGAACAGAAGATGATGACGAGGGCCAGAACTCAAGAGCAACTCGGCTGCATCCGCAGAATCCATCAGAGGCCGCGCATTCCCACAAAACATGAGAATAAAAACAGCCCAAGCGTCCCACTCGTTTGTTCTAAGTATTTCTATGGCTTTGGCGCCGGATTCGCGCCGGATCGTAGAAATTTACACGCGATTCTAACTAATTTGCCTTTCCTTGATTTTTCTTCGTTCTTGTTTTATTTACATTTACATCGTTGTGCTTCATTTCTAGCCTGTGTCATTCCTTGTACATGGATTTTGAAGCATGAGGAACACCTAAATTTTTATTCGCATCAGGAAATTGCGTTTTGCTTGTATCAAACTAATGCCAAAATTAAGAAAATTCTGTGCTTAATTCAGCTCCAAATACAAACCATTGATCACTAAACTACTGCTATTTCAGCATGCTCTCCTATCGTTCAGTTGACATACGTAAATCTCTTCAGCTTGAGGAACTACTGCAGGTACTTCAAAACCAATAGGATATCACTTAATTTCGAATCATTTTTAGTAAAGCTATGCGAAGAAAAGGATCATGCAAATTTTGTCAGAAATTCCCTGAGCATTCTTCGTTAGGGTTCACCACTTTCTTACTGATTCAGGGACGTAGGCTAGATCTCTGTCCCACGACTAGCGTAGTATGTACCTTGAGAGCAAAGAGGTTTACCATTTTTTTCTTTTTTTTTTCTGAGCTTATGAATTTCGGGGTGAACTTTCCTCGAGGGCACGTGGCGCGATAAGTCACAAAGGCATATAGGATAAAGACGCCTCGCAGGGCAGTATTCGGCACCCCTGCAAGCACTGCAAGGCGCCTTCACCAACAAAGGTGCCAAAATGCACCCACACGGACGCCCACCGTCACCGCGCGCCCACACAATCACCTTGACGCTCTTATTCTTATTTGATCCTTTATGAAGTACAAGTGATTACGAAGTACAAGTGATATGAAGCGTTGATGCATGGCCATATGACATACGTGTAGCGTACTTATCAAAGCGGTCGTTTTCACGAAGCCAACATAAAACTCGCCCAGATTGCTCGTCCATTGCGGTGCAGAAAAAGACTTGTTCACCCGTCAAACTTTGCTTTCTTGTCAATTTTCCTTCAATATAGCACTCCTGCTACTGTTTTTGAGCCCTAAATTATCGTGCCTAATCCCTTTAAAGGCACTGTCCGCGAACAGCTGACATATTCCTCTCCCTTCCTGAGCAGGTAGACAAGCCCGCAGAGGCAGCGATTGCTCCATTTTTGCGGCGCAAAGAAGAGGAGGAAGGCGTAGAAATTGTCGTTCCTCCATTACATTTACATTACATTACTGGTAACAGGAAACCAGCTGCGATCAATGGCCACAACCACATCGACCATAGCAGCACTCGCCCGGGGATCTTGTCCAGCTCTTCCTCTATTCGTACAAGTGCGCTCGCACAGGGGTTCCACTGGGGAGGGGGGCTAATTGCGACCATTTTTTTTTTATTTTCTGCACTATTGACCTTGTCGGCATGTTGGCATTGCTAGTTCAGCACCACTATCCAGAATATCTGTGGGCTTTGCTCCCAAGAGCTGCAATATCGCAAACAGCTTGCAGGAACATCCCGCACCTCCTGGGATTACAGTCGTCATCGATTATGCGGTCAAAGGGTCGCACACGGGCCTGCCGCAGCGTCGTGACCGGCGCGTCAGCTGTTTCCAGCCTGGTCTAGCTTATACTATCCCTAATTTTCACTGTATTTTCTATTCTTTTCAGGGTATGTTGTGTTATTGTCTTTATGGAGTATATTAAGACGTGGTTTCTTTTTGTTTTTGTAATTCAGTGCTTTCTGCGATTTTTTTTAAAGTAACTGTTCAATCTGCTTCTTCGATTGTTCGCAAAAATTAAAAGAGATCTCGATCATATTTTACCTTGTGAAGATAAGGAACAACTATCCTTAAGAAAAGCTCGGAAAAACAGAGAAAAGTATAGAGAAAATGACTAAAGGCCGGAAACAGCTGTTCGCCGCCAACAGTTCCTGCGTACGCGCCTGCCTGCTGCGGCCACGTCTGCTACCCTTCGCGGTCCGCCTAATCGACTGCTGGGATTACGACTGTACATCATACATCATCTATATTAAGGCACTGTTCATAAGCATAAAGTTGATAACGTTACCAGATGTCATGCAACCAAGCTTGTTTTTCTTTTGAAAAATTACTCAATTCACGAATGGATTTTTCAGAGAGAGGAATTGGAATTCGTCATAGAAGAAGAAGTGGCAAAAACAAACAATTCGAACATGGCTAGAAAACTGTCTTCGAGCGTTACGGAAATCCAGAAAAGCAAAGGGATTCACTTGCAGATACCTCAAGACATCCAGGATCAGCAGGTGAGTGCAAATTGATGCAGAACTGAACGAAGACATGACAGATTTCTGTTCTGATAAAACTAGTGAACTAACTAGTAATAAAAGGCAAGTGTTACGATGACATGGCGTACAGGGTGGTTACGCCTAAGAATATATTGTGACCCTTACCAGGCCCGGCACGGTGCCTTACCAAAGGCACCATTATATCACCTAAGCAAGGCTCGATATGCCGACCCGGACGCCCTGAGCAACCGCCCACCCATAAGTGGTCGGACTCTCTTTGTCGCTGGTACTCATATCATTTCGTTTAAAGAGTATGAAGTGTAGCGACATGAATATGAATACATACGTGCAGCCGTAACACAAGGCGGCGTTGGCATGATGGTAACGAGAAACTCGTCCAAAAATGCTCGCCCAATGCCGTGACGAAGCAGTGCTTCTCGCAGGTTTTCTGCTATTTACTCGCTTTTTCGTCATTTTCCCCTCTATATAGCACCCTTTCAATTTTTTGTGCACGTACCAAATTATCACGACTCATGCCTTTCAGAAAAGGGTGGCAAAGCCATGATTGAGTGCGCACCCCTTATACCAGGGAATTGAATAGAGGCATTTGGTGAAGTGTCGTGAAATTTTCTTGCCAACCCAATATTTTGGTGAATATCCGGTCACAATATGGCAAAGGCATACTGGCACTCGAACCATGGTCGCGTTCTATTGTGCTACCATTTATGTTTCACTCCCACACCTTTGTTCAGGTCTGTCATTAACAACAGATCACGATGACGAATTACCGCGATTTCGATTCGGTCATGACTCCTCCTCCACGGAAGACCTTGAGCGCCCGGCTCCAATTCGAAAAAAAGCCATCAGGAATCGTAGAAGCAGCATTCCTGACGCATTTTCTGTAAGTTTTCTCTTTAAGTCCATCGACCAGGACACATATTCCACATTTTGAAATTGCGACGCTCGCAAGAAGTTTGAGTTTTTTTTTCACTGCCCTGCACTTTAAATTGGAAGTGAAAAACACATTTCAGCTTCAAACTGCAACAATTCTCCACGAAGCAGCAAAAAAGTTCATGCAGAGCAACAGCGAGAAAAAGTTGGCTCAAGCGCGTTCGCTCTCGTCAGCCTGAAGCAGCCGCAGTTACTACCCAAGAGAGCTGAAGCAAAAAAATCAGGAGTGGCCAAGACATTGCATGTATGCGTGAGTTCCAGGATGAAAACTTTCAGAAATAATCAACCGTGTTTCAGCTAAACGTGTAAGCGATTTGCCGGATCTTGAAGAGAAAGGCGAAGAAGGGGCATTTTCTCCACCACCGCTCAAAGAGGAAAATGACGAGAACATTGTACCATATTTCCTCATACAACATCATGCAACTCTATGGCATTTTCACTTCGAATTCACCACGTTCCAAACCAAAATCACCCGTTTTCAAACCAACTTCAAGATTTGGTTGCCCATGCCTCACTAGACACTGCTGTGACCCCCCCCCCCTCTACGACCACGCCCACATTTCAGCGTGGTCGCGATCTTTCAAATATCATTTTGTGACTTCCGCTTTAGCGTCTTTTTTGCTCATTCATTATTTCGCACGTACACACTAGCTGTTAAGGACTATACATTGTACATGGGCAAAAAATACCAGGCAATGTTTGTTCCGAGTGACGAGTGAGATAGCAGGGCTTCTCATAGTGGGTGGGGCTCCAGAGCAGTCCAAAAATGCAAAGATTTTGAAAAAAAGCAAAATTACACAGAATGCCGCAAAATGGGCGTGGCTGAGGGGGCGGAGCCCATTGTGCCAATGTTTGTGAAGGGCCTACGAGTACCTTCACTGTGAAGAGTGGGAGGAAAACAACAACGATAAAAAAGTTATGAAGAGTCGAAGTATGCGACAAATCTTCTAAAAAGTGGGTGGAGTTGCCCATATGCGATGCACATCCCTCTTCTCAGCCACTGTGTATGTGTGAAATAACAAAAATGGGCACTATTCTCCCTTTACTGCCCCAATCTTCCGAAAGTAGGCCAGTTTTTGACCGACCTTTTTCTGCCTTGGCAGAAGTGGCTGAAAATTCGTTCCCTGGAGTAGTTTGACCTCCTGAACATGAATATCACATCCGCTAGGCACGAAACTTCCTAACGCCCGCGCCACAGGCGCCGGCGCCAAAATACCTTAAATCACCAAATTCGCTGAAAGCTTGTTCTCAGGGGTAGTCTGACTTCCTGAACACGTAGATCACATCCGCTCGGCCTGAAACCTCCTACCGCCTGCGCTACAGCTGCTGACGCCAAAATACCCCAGATCACCGACGCCTGTGGCGCGGGCGGCAGGAGCTTCCGGGCTAAGCGAATGTTATATTCGTATTCAGGAGGTCGAATATACCTCTGGAGACATTGTGGAAGGTTGGGCCAGTAAAGGGTAAATATGTGGTGCCCAAAAGTGCAAAAAAAAGTCGCCAAAACCGAAGTTACCAAACGAAATTCGAAAAATTACGATCACTTTAAGTATGGGCGTGGCTGTAGGGGCAGGGCTTACAGTAGCGTCTAGTGTATGAGTAACCAAGCCTTGACTTTCGTTCTCATGGTAAGTCGTTAATTTGAAGTGAAAATGTTATATATTGTGCAGTACATACTATGCAATACATGACACAACGTCCTGTTTTTCCGTCAACTTTCCACGACCAAATTTCAGGATTCTCCAGCGGGTTTCTATATAAACTCGAGTAACGCACGTATACCAACCATCGAGTCAACTGAGGACATTGCGTTTTGGTGGGAGTTGGTTAATAAATAGCCATCGTACCAACTGAAGATTCTCTACTGTTTTCTCGCTAGGATTTACAATTTCTCGTTCTAAGATCTCAGAATTTTTTCTTGAACCTGTTTTGTCTTTTTACATTGAAACTAGGCTCGAAAATTGATGCCAAACCGTTTTCCATTCTCTTTTTAGAGCCAATCTACTATCTTCCCCCATTCTTCTTGTGCCTTATTCGTTGACACATATCTCAACTGAATGCTTGATATTTTAATAATTTGGTGATTATGTTATACCGTCCCGAAGAAGAAGCGCCTCTTAATCTGAAGTTGTTCACTTTATGAATGTACATTTGATACTTTTCGTGTGTCAACAATGTTGTTGTTCGAAGGTTTGGTAACGTATTATTCGTTTTTGGTTTTTGGTTTCGAAAAAGGCTAAAGGAAATGGGGCTAAAAAGAGCTGATTGAAACTAGTAGTAGTATTGAAACTAACATTAATATGGAGACTTTATGGTAGCAGAGACTGGATTTTATTGTTGTTGATAATAGGTTGGCAGAAATCTGACAAAGAGGAGACCTTTCTCAAAAATCAAGGTAACAACAACTTTCATCACATTCTCGTCGAGTCATTGATGCCTTTTCCCAGAACTCCGAAGGCTATGAGTCCTGCAATCTTGAGGTTACCATAGATTTAACTTATCCTCCTCGCAAGTGATGCTTTAGACGGACAGCACCATTTATCCTTGAATATTTTTGAACTAAGGAAACCCCTGTTGACAATCAGGCAAATGAGAGAATGTCTCAAAGCCAGGCACATCGATGTTGTGATTGCCCAACAGGGGAGGGAATCGTATTTGGACGCTAAGAGAGGGGGAGATTATGTTTGGGGAGGGGGGGGTCGTGTTTCACTTCTGGCCTTCTGTGAGAGATTGCTGACTTATCGTGGTTTTCCCTGTTTCATGCGTACTATAGACCCCCCTCTTCAGCTCGATGAGGAGTGAACCAGCTGGGAAGGGGGCGGGGTCGTACGGATTCGACTAAAATCCCCAACTAATGATGTACTCTGCTTAGATCTAAAAGAAAGTGTGGTAAAAGGAATAAGGCATGATAGTTTGTACTCGTCTAAAATGGTAGCAGGGTGCTATGCGTGAAACTCGTAAAAAAACCTTTGTTGTACAAGACTCAGAGAACAACTCGAAGTTGTCCGTTGGCGTCATGCCAACAACCGCTACGGTAGAAAGGCTGCTTGTATGTAACTCATATATCCATACAGCATCGCAGCCGCTTCACACAAATCCCTTCTCTCTGGATTGTACTTCGCAAAACGCGAACGAGCATCAGCATTGTGGGCGGACAGGCGGGGTGGGCTTCCAGGTCCGGGTGTTGCAGCTTGATAGGGTGCTACAAAGGCAACTTCCTTTGAAAAGGCGCCAGGCAGCGCCTGCTCGTGGGCGTCAAACACGGTTCTGTCAGCTTACTAATTCTAAACAACTTGGGGATTTATCGGACCACTTACCTTTGAGGAGAGTCAAAACGCGGAAAATACGCCAAAATGAGATTCTCCAAGCCAAAAAAAAACGGATTTATTGACTGGAAACAGTGTACTCAACCGTTTATTAACACTTAATTGAAAGAACAATGTGATTAGTGAGCAAATTTCATCGGTCTTTCTCAGAGCTCGCTCAATGTTTTTTCTTCTCGGGACCAATCCACGACCTCTTCGGACCCGGTGCTTCCTTCTGAAACATAGCGCCGGGAAAAGTCGTGTGAAGACTCTTTCAATGGTGCCTTCTTCTAGTTAAGGTTAGGTAGTAACTTCAAGTAGTTCTATAGCACTCTAGATACCACGAAAAAGTGAATTAACCTCAGTAAGCGTGACCAGTTGAGAACTGGGAGACAAACACTTCGTGGAAGCAGCATGGGTGGGTCTAGACAGAGCCAAACTCAAAAGTTCGTATATGGTTCTAGCGCACCTCAGCCAACGGGAACAGGATAGGCAAGATCACCAAGGAGTCAGAGGTTGAGATGTGGGAGACACATCTACAGGGGTGGGACCAAAAGTATAAATCCGTGAATTGGTTCAGAGCACCCCAGTGAAAAAAAAGAGCAAAGGTGTGCAGGAGATTGGTTGTTGAAGTGAGAGAGACACGCCCGTAGTAGGCGAAGCATCGCTGCGCTGGACGAGGCAAAGATTAAGAATTCAGACATTAAGAATCAGAATCATGAATTCAGACATGTCGCAGAGCAGCATAGGCACCGGAAAAAGTAGACTGCGTTTCGCAACAGATCAACGGGCAAAATGGAGAAGACGTCATGGGCGGCCCGTACTGGCGATGGCGGTGCTTACGAAATTTCATCACACGGTCCTGGTATAGTAAGGTCGGGAATGGTTGGCAAAGTGGAACAGCTAGTGAGCTGAGAGTTTCTGTGGTATATTGAACACGCCCATAGTAGGCGGAGCGTGCTCTCACGCGAAGGCACTTATTTTTAGTAATCATGAGTTTTAATGCACACGCAGCCATACTCATACCCAAAGGTCGTCACAGGTACATTTGATACTAGTTGTCTCCCCGTATGACGCCGTCTCGCCTCCATGTTTGATACGCACCAGCATTGCCAGGCGAGCGTTACTTTACCACACGTAGCTTATTCTGCGTAAATTTGAATACTCAGTTAATACCAGCTTTTTTTCTCATATGCGAGCTTGATCGACGCTCTCTACCACCTTTCCCTAGACGGTAGCAGTATTCGAGGTAGCAAATGCTATTCGTTCAAGAGCGCTGACCGTACCGCTGTCTGTGGTGAGCCGACTGGTATACACACATTAAAGAATACTTTGACCATCTGCGCTTTCCAAATCTGAGGCAGGTCGGGAGGGAATCACTGCTAGCAGGGTATCAGCTTATTGAATATGGGAGAGTAGGATGGAGGAATTAGGTGTATCAGGCCTCGTGAAGCTGTGGCGTGGGCAACCGCTCTTCTACACAAAGGTTCACTGGTGGACGCTCTAGCAAAGTATGAACGCAGCCCAACTGTGAGCTGTGTAGTGCCTTTGTTAATTATAACAACAGCGGGAATGAAGTCACAAACTTTTTTCTTTGGCCCTTTTTTATCGTCTTCGTTTGAATCCCAGTCGCTCATAATATCATCCATAGTAGGGTAAGCCTTAACATAACAAATTAGTTTTCTGTTAATCACATTTGAAAGTCAAATGAATTACTGAGGTGTCCTTCTTCGCCCCCATTGCAATTATTTTCTGCTTGTCGTCTAGATCCATCTTTTTTGGCTTGATTTTCTGCAAATGAAATGATTACTGAATATCTGAATGAATGTTGCAGAGAAAATATCTCATCCACCTCTTTCTTTTCGTCATCCCAATCGCTCTTAATGTCGTCGAATGTAGGATATGCCTAAATTCATTGTTTCCACGCCTCACTGCTTACTTGTCAGGCTGCGTTCACACTTTGCGGCAGCGTCTACTAGCGACCATGAGCGCTGTTAGCGTTAGCGACTAAGGAAGCATAATATCGATCGAACGGACGGCAGCGTCTGCCAGCATCCCCCAGCAAAAATCGGCGTTTCGAGCGACTAGGAAAGTACGGATATCGATTTGGCGTCTACCAGCGACCTCCAGCGACCAGGACCAGAGGGTATGGGGAAGTAAGAGGGTAGCACACTGCTGGTAGAGCATGGGGAAGCAGTAGGGAGCAGATATCGGATTAGACGCCGTGAAGTTGCGAGACGTACAACCGCTGCGTACTGTTACACAACAACGTACTTCTGGTCGCTGGTGCACGCTGGTAGACGCTCGCAGACGCTGGTGGACGCTAATGGATATCTGTACTTCACTAGTCGCCGATGCTGACGAACGCTTGTAACGCTGTTAGTCGTTGGTGGCCGCTGGTGGACGCTGCCGCAAGATATGAACTCAGCTGTAGGATGTCCTCAACTCATGTTTACTCTTTGTAATTGATTGCTGTAAGGTTTCTTACAGATATTCAAAATGTAACTCATACATCCTTGTCTTTTTTAGCACCCATCGCAATCTTTTGCAGTTTATTCAAGGGCGTTCCTTGGTCAGGAGCAGAAGAAACTCGTGCTGGTTTTGGGAATAGATCAAGAGCTTTGCTGTCCTGCAAAACAGACTGTTGAGCTCACGTTTCGCAGTAGAACGTAATAGATTCGTTCAAGAGACACAAACGGGCTGTGTGCGATTAGGAATGTGCTGCATTTTCGATCGTTTCCCTTCTTTTTTCAGATGAACCATCACGCTTTCTTTCCGCTTTTTCTTCGAAGGCTTCCCTCTTGATCCTTGCTTCGAACCTCTTGATGACGACGAGGATGCCTTCTTTTTAGCGGGCTCTTTTTTGGAACTGCTATCAGATTCTTTCAGAAAATCCTACAAGCGTGAATACTTTGAACAAACCAGTATTACAATGCGAGAACAAGCCGACTGTACATTATGGTAATCAAGCCAATATAAGAATCACCATTAAACGAGTCCTCACTTTGTTAGAATAAGCCGCAGTTGTACTTTTTTTTCTGAGGGGACCTAGCTCAATCTTTGCACAAAGTGTCTTTGCCCTTTTTTCGGAGCCAACTATCACAAAGGTGCTGAGTTGAAGAAAAAAAACGCACGTTCACCTGTAAAGTGCATCCTTGGCATGTCTTCCGCTAAGGGCCCCCAGCTGTCGAAGCGTAGCGGCAATATGCACGGGAATGGAGATCCCGTATTGTGAGACAGGCCAATTCCGCCATACTCCGCCTGAAAACCAGCTTGCGGCGCGAACACGCTGCACGCCACTACTATATACCTATCGATCCGAAGCGACCGACGTCCCCACAGCGCGTGTCGCGCGCGACCTTCTGGCGCTTCGCCAAGCCTCCTGGATTGCGCATTCGAATACGATCAAAACATGAATTCCTGGGAAGGATGATAACAAAATTGTTGTTCATGCTGTAAACTCCGAAGCCTGTCAGCCCCGTCCATGTCAAGGATGCACCTCGCAGCAAAGCGTGCCTTTTGTCATTAACAAGGGAATGATTTCGAATTCCTACGGAACTTTGAATGGAGACCCAGGTACATCGATAGAGTCTTGGATGCTGATTACAAATATGCAGATTAAAAGTGCTACGGGGACCTCCCAGATGAGTTCTGGGCGGTTGAAGTTTGCGAAAACTCAGTTTTGGCTCGTAAGTGCCACTGATCGATCGCCAGGCACTGCCACCGTGGCCTTGTGGCAACGGTCTCGCTTCAAAAGCAAATGCTTGTGGGTTTGCATCCCCAAAAGTTTTTGCTCCGTCTCCTATAAGAGCTTCCACTCTAATTTTCGGAATTCTTCCGAGTTTACGCTCATCAGAGCAAGTAGATCCAAGCATGTGACGTACTCGATCGAGTATGGATTTGGTCACTATCTGCCCTCTCTGAACTCATTACCCATCCGACAGCTCGAGTCCAGCTTTCGGCCTGAATCATAATTTGGCCAAAAACTCGTTTCTGGAAGTATTTTGACCCCCTGAGCACGAATATCGCATTCGTTTGACGCCAAAACGATCGGTTATGGATTTGGTCACTATCTGCCCTCTCTGAACTCATTACCCATCCGACAGCTCGAAGTCCAGCTTTCGGCTGAATCATAATTTGGCCAAAAACTCGTTTCTGGAGGTATTTTGACCCCCCTGAGCACGAATATCGCATTCGTTTGACGCCAAAACGATCGGTTCACTCGTTCAGTTGATGACCACAACAAGTGGAAAGCAAGCGTTTTCTCTTCAAACGGATGTGATTGATCTACTTGATCTTCTTGCTCTGCTGGGTCGTAAACTCGGAAGAAGTCCGAAAGTTAGAGCAGAAACTTTTATAGGAGACGAAGCAAAAACTTTCGCGCCAACGGGATGCAAACTCACAACCATTTGCATTTAAAGCGAGACAGTTACCACTAAGCCACGATGTCACTGCCTAACCATCAGATCGATCAACCGTGCTTACGAGCCAAAACTGAGGTTCTGCAAACTTTGACCGCCAAGAACTCGTCTGGGAGTCCCCATAGCACCTTTAAACTGTATATTCGTAATCAGCATCCGAGATTCTATCGATGTACCTAGGTCTCCATTCAAAGTTCCATGGGAAGCTGAAAACATTCCTCTGTGAGCAGCACCCAGACTTTGCGATAACGAGCGTCGACGCGCTGTTGCGCGCTACCATCGCAACAGCGCAATTCATGGACGCGAACGCAGCAGACGGGAATCGAACACTGCAGGCCGCTTGTGCTTTGAGAGAATACGAGGGAATATGAGGGTTCACACTGGCTTATCACACTGTGGCATTTTGTTGTAGTTTGCAGTAATGGAGTTTAGCGTAATGGATAGCGCACATGCCTCTTGATGGTAGGTAGGTGCGGGTTGGAATCCCGTATTAGGTCTGACTTTTGCCCCCAGCTCAGCATTCTTATGATAACCGATTAAGACTGTTGATTGCGTATTTTCAAAGTCTGTGAGGAAGCAGTCAAAGTTTTACCTCCACTGCAAGCTCTTCATCGTGGTCAGAGGAGCTACATGCTGTTGAATGCCCTGAAAGTTTGAAAATCGCCGAAATTTCTGGGAGGCAAATTTAAAGGCAATTTGTACACTCACTCAAGTGCACGGGAACGGGCTGTAGGGTATTGATACCGGTGCAGTACTACCAAAGGCTCGCAGCAAACACGCAGTCAAAGGTAGAGTACAACTCAAAGTGAAAGGGCGCAGATAAGTACAAACCGCGAACAATCGCGCCCTGCGTCAGACGCGCAATTGTTCGCGGTGATCCGTGCGAACAATTGCGCGTCTGACGCAGGGCGGTTAGAAGCGCGGTCACGTGGCAACTAAAACTTTTCTGGTCCCGACGCGAAAGGCCAGAGCGCAAAGAAACAAAAGATTGTAGCTGCCAAGGCATCAATAGCTGCAAAAAATATGTCGCGGGAAAGGGTGTGAGCTTTTTCAGGGGAAGGGGACTCGGGTTGGATGGGCCTTTGTCAGGCATAAAAAATGTGACTGTGTAAGGTCACTGTTGTCAAGTTATACTATGTAGACATGACAGCGCAGAGAAAAGCACATAGCCGGCGCGATTAAAGGAACTGAGTTCGAGTTGTCCGTGGACCTGTAAGCGCGGTCAGGGCAGCCTTGTCTCAACAGTAATCTCATCCTGAGTCCGCTACAATCGATGAAACTGCTCCAGCAGAGCTTTCAAGCCACGCCGCCATCCTGCAAACTATCGCTTTCGAGACTAGCGACTATAGCTACTTTTCCTGTTGAAAGGAGAGCGGACGAACCAAGATTTCTCCCACAAAAGGGATCGTACTGGTACGGCTGTTCTCCCGGAGACGAACAAGAGGATCGCCATCCGTCGTACCGCCGCGCGCGGCGCACCGCCTGGCGATGAGCGCGGGAAACTCAAACTGTTCGTCGGCTTTTTGACTGAAGCAGCGAAACTTGTGCCTAGAATTTTTTCTTTTATTCCCGCACATAACCTCGTCATCCGGGCAGTTGATTAGGGCGGTCGTCAACGGGCCGCAGCGCGTGCCAGGAACTATTTGCTTTTTCCAGGCTAATTTAGTCATTTTTTCCACCTTGTGAAGATAAGGAGCTGCTAATCTGGGAAAAAGTAGACCAAAACAGTAAAAAGTTGGAAAAATGAATTGAATTAGTCTGCGGCGAAAAAGAAAGTTGAGTTCCTGGCACGCGCTTGCGGCCTTGACCATCGCCCTAATAATCTTGCCCGGATGACGAGGTATTTTCACGTCTGGTTTTGGCCATTTTCCTACACCGTGCACATTGCTTGAGCATAACTGATGTTACGGAGGCATTGATTAGTACTCTCTTCTCGTCCCTTCAATATGAAATTCGAATCGCAGGAGCAGGAGAACTGGCACCCGCGGCCCGACGCATCGTCCCACGCTCTACCAGCCGACAGCTTAGGAAGTTTCTCTGTTATGTATTTTTGTTTTCTCTCGTTTATTCCCCAATGCCGCTGGTGTCCTATTGAAGTATTCGGCAGCACCGCCAAGTAATAATGAAAATTGGCTCTCACATATCACTGAGTTAAGCTATAATGCGGCATATTAAACCCCGAGTCAAATATTGCTGTTCGTCCAGCCCGATAACATCTTTGATATCTGAAAAACCTGTCAATTAGATCCATAACGATAAAGCAAAAATACCACGTTAAAAGGTGCAGCAGCCGGTTCAAACTCGAAACAACACACACCAGTTTCGTAACTTCTTTAATTGACTGAAATGATATAAATGGAACCTCCCCAGAAGGCAGCACAATGTGCCATATCAGTCAATCAGCGCATATGTGACCATGATACATTCATTCAAAACTTCGGGACTACAGTAAAGATAAATATTATCAATTGTTGCAGGTGGACTACTGCGCGATACTGACGCGCGTGTGTATAGTGAATTTCAGCATTAGATCAACTGACAGTATACCTGTCGGGAGTCGTGTAATTCTCCCGAATAGGTCAGGTCACATTCAGCCCGCAGCGGCATATGTCACCATGAGGAAAACGTCCGAGACCTTGAGGCTGCTCTTCATACTTTGTCTCAACGTCCACCAGCGACCATCAGCGTTTCGAGCAATCGTAAGTGCCAGCGCGACTAGAAAATAGTAGAGATCGATCTAGCAAACGGGAGCACCTACCAGCGTGCGCCAGCGACCATCAGCGTCTCGAGGGACCGGGAAGGTAAGCATATCGATCTATCGTCTACCAGCGTCCACTGGAGACCAGGTGTGGAGAGTATGGGGGAGTATGAGGGCAGGAGACTTGGTAGGGTATGAGGAAGTAGGAGACAGCTGGCGTCGTCAATTTGTAGCGTGTGCATCGTACATACTGCTACACAATACTGCACTCCTGGTCGCTGTGACCGCTGGTGGACGTTAGTGGACGCTAGATCAATACTACACTGTCCTAGTCCTCCAAGACGCTGATGGTCGCTGGCGAGCACTGCCGCAAAGTATGAGCAGCCTTACACTGATCCACTGCGGCGTTCAGTTGAACTAAATTTCTGAATTACTGCATTTCGACGGTTCTATAGCGAAGTCGAAATAAGGAAGTTGAAGAATAATTGATAAATCTTGTATAGCCTCGTGATCCGTACTGAAAGCAGGCCCTAATAATCTCGGCGACCGTTGTGGCTGAATGACCTAACCAGCGACTTACTCGCTCCCTACCTGTACCGAACCCCGATGCTTATGTTAGCGTAACTTCTATTTCTTCAAATACTACACTAAATAAAATACTCCATCGACCTACTCCCCATACCTTTCATCTCAATGAACAATTCGAAAAATATGCGTACATAACGTAAGAGTCGAACCGATGAATTATGTCGAAAAAGGAGCGACTGCTGACGGAACACTAGCTTTCTTCCCGAAGCGGGTCAAAAACAAGGGATCAGCACGTTATCTGATTTTTTAATTGTTACGTCGTCCTTGAACTAAGCGAACTTTTAAGCGTTAAATTCAAGCAACTATACCCAGAACTCTAAGAAACGGCTGAAGAATGCAGTTCAGGGTCGTAAGGCCCATAAGCAGCTTGCGTTGTGATTCAGAACTTCTGAGCTAAGTGTAAGAAATTTCCCTAACAGAGAATCGGTTCCAACATACTATGGAGCTTCGACTGGGGACCTAGGTACCTCGATAGATTCTTAAATGCTGTTAGAGAATATGCAATTTCAAGATACCTCCCAAACAATTTCAAGGGACCTTCCAAACGAGTGCGAGGTGGTCAACTTACACTGTAAATGTAGTGCTGCCACTGCGGCGATGGAACTCTAGCGCCTCCGTGTTCTTGGTAGCGGTCTCGCTTCTCAGGCGAGAACGAGTAGGTTTGCCTCTGTTGGCGCGAAATACTTTGCTTTCTCTCTGGTAAGAGTGCCACGTTCCTTGACATTCCTCCAAGTTAGCGATCCAATAGAGCGAGGGCCCACATGCCAGCACTAAATTTTCAGCAGACTTTGATCACCTGGAACTCGTTTGACATATCTCCCGTAACACTTTTATCTATACTCTTTATCCCTGAGACGAGGTAGGCGTGGCATTCGAACATGGCTTGGAAATGGTTGCTCGTGGGATCTTTAAATACCAGGAAACCGCCATCTTGTTGTTTGTTGGAAAAAGATGTGACCACATTTGGGTCAAAATGAAAATATCTTCCCAAGAGCACAACCACCACGACGTTTAGTTGAAGTACGCAGCCACGCCTACCTCATCTCAGGGATTTTGAGTGTACATGCTCGCTGTCAGCATTGGAGACTCTATGGGGATGCATAGGTCTCCATTCCATGTTCCATTCCCTTGTAAGCACTGCAGTATTAAAAGCAAGTGGTACGATAAATCTTCAAGGCGTGTAGGATCAATACGCCTGACGCCACAGAACTCGGAGCCGCTAATCAGGCGCTGCGTGGCGCCTTTCCCAAGATAGTTACCCCCTATCGAACTGCAGCATAGCGACCCGGATGCCCACCGAACCTGCCCACAAATGTACGACCGATGCTGACGCACGTATCGTTCCACCTGCGAAGTGCAGTATGACGATAAAGCACTGATATGATGCAGTGCTGCATGGACACTTGAGCATGTAAATATATGCAGCCGTATCTAATGGTTATTGGCACGATGCCGAAACTCGTCTAAATTACCTTCTAGTCACGAAGAACAAAGCTTTTTTGATTTGACCGTTTCAGCTCGTTTTTTCCTCAATTCCCTACATGTTGTATCTTTGCTAGCATTTCAGATCGATTACCCAGTTTTCGTGCCACATGCCTTCGAAGAACAACTTGCTTACAAGAAGAGTACAGAAGTCAGTAGAAAGACTCCCGCCTGTCATGCCTTTTCATCGAAATATTTTGAGAAAACTTTTGATGTCAAATCAGCGAGTTCCTTGCGAGTCTCCATTCCGGTCGTTGTATAAGACAGAGTTGTATAAAAGTTGCCATGCTAGAGACGTATATTCATGCATTTAGTTCAGAATATGATGACTGGATTTGGGCGCATCCTGTGCTGGATATCCTTGCAATGGTCCAGCGCAGCGTGGAGTGGAGGAGTGCTACACTCGAAATCGGTGAGACGCCATAGGCGTGGCTGCGAACTCAACAAGACGAGGCAGTGGCTGTGCTTTTGGTGGGACATTTTGATTTTGACACTGATATAGTCACGTTTCTGTCTAACAGTGAACAATATGACAGTTTTCTCGAACTGAAAAATCCCACGAGTAAGTTATTCTATGCCACGTCCAAATAGGTCAAATGCCACACCCACTCGCTCTCAGGGATACGTAGTGCAGTTGTGGATGACTAACACAAATCATTTTTCGGCAACTTTGTGATCATCTCGCTGGCAGTTACTGTAGCGCATGAATGAACAGCGAACGAAAAAAGTGATAGCGATTAGAACGCTTTAAACTTCGTAATGTTGTTTTTCGAATCTCAACGTCAACAGTTTAACAACAATTTATTTTGCGACATTGAACAAGAAGTTCGCAGTTTTAAGGGATACTTCAATGGGTAATTGTCAACAATCGCTGCAGGTCTATTTAGAAGGAGAATCGTTACGATGGATGCTCGCGACACGGCCTTCCGGGCCATGTGAGTCCGTGGGGCGAATACTTGGTATAGATGGTCTGCCCATCTCTTCGGCGCCAGAAGAATCAATCACTCCTCTTCGAATTGTTCGATTCACGGTCAAATAGATGATGCACACAAAACCTTAACGAGTTTCATGATCAACAAAATTATGTAACTAACCAAGAATGGTGTAGTCGCCTCAGCATTGGCGCTGCGCCAAGCTCAGGATAAAATTCCTTTCTAATGCAAACAAAAGGAACTTCCCTTGTTAGAGTAAAACTTTAAATAGTAACATACATAATAGCATAGGGTAGTGTAACAACAACAACAACAATCGTCGGAAGTAAGCTCTCGGCTCCTGCGACAGTGGACTAGACCTTTGACAGAGGTGGTTCGACGAAACATTAAAAGGCGGTGGACCAAAAGAAACCCCCCCCCCTTGAGATGGAAAGCCTGGTCGCTCTGCAGGACATTCAGCACCTGATCTGACCCTTGAAAATGCGAGTGATTTGATGGCACCACTTATGTATGCTGGCGTTCTACTTTGCGGCAGTTACCCATCAGCGTTTGCCAGCGACCATCGGCATTTCGAGCGTCTATCAGCACGACTCGGAAAGTGTAGGTATCAATATTAGCGAACGGCAGTGTCCACCAGCATCTACCAGCGTCCACCGGCGTTTACCAGCGACCAGGAGTAGAGAGTATAGGGAAGTAGAGGGAGGAAAGAGACAACTGCATCAGGCGTCGCGAAATTACGAGTACAACTGACCGTACTCCCACACAATACCGTACGGTTGCCCGCGGACGCTGGTGAACTCTGGATTGATATCATATACATTTCTAGCCCCCTGAGACGCAGATGTTCGGAGGCGCGTTGACGGACGCTGGTAGACGCTGCCGTCCGTTTAGGTCGATATTTATTTTTTTTTAGTGGCTGACCGGTAGCGGACGCTCGAAACACTGACGGTCGCCGGTTGTCACCAGGGGACGCTGCCCGCAAGTATGAACGCAACCTTACCACTGCTTCCAATATGAAACAGGACGCATTACCATTATATTATACTTAGCTGGTTTTCTGGTCTGCCTTATTAATCATGAAAGAAAAGTTTCCTCAAACAAGACAACGAACTTTTGGTGTTTCTTTGCAAAAACAAGTGACAAATCAGGACGAACCAGCACTTAGTTGCCAAAGCGATCTGACCCAGAAGGACCATCCCTTTGAGGGTGGTGAAAATACTGCATATAAACATAGGCGTATGCTGCCATAAGGTTTATTGAACATATCAGGAATGACTGGATGAATATCTAAAAAGGAAGTCATGTACAGAAAATGAGCGGCTTTACAGTTTTTGCTTGACTATTCACTCGCACGATTACGTGCAGTCAGTCGCTTCAGCTCGCTTCTCTGATAGGATGGTTCAACAGGGAGAACGGGAGCTCATTTGAGTATGCGCAATGGCATTCTTTCAAACGCAAAGGTGGTGAAAAGCTATAAGGGCTCGTTCGTACTTTACGGCGGCGTACACAACGACCGTTAGCGTCCATCAGCTTTCCGAACGTCCGCCAGCGTCAGCGACTAAAAAAGTATAGTTACGTCTGCCAGCTTCTATCAGCTTCTGCCAGCGTCCACCAGCAGCCAGCAGCGTCTTAAGGGCTAGGCAAGTATAGGTACGATCTAGCGCCTGCCAGCGTCTGCGAGCGACCAGGAGTGTCAGAGAGTGGTAAGCATGAGGCGTTAGGAGGGCAGCAGACAGTTGGTAGAGTATGGGGAGATAGGAGGATTCCAAACTGCTGGTAGAGTGTATGGCACGATAGGAGGGTAGCAGACAGCTGGTATCCTCCTGTCGCCCCATGCTCTTTACCAGCAGTCCTGCAGCTGGTCGCTGGTGGACGCTGGTAGACGCTGACAGACGCTATATCGATATCTATGCTTTCCTAGTCGCTGACGCTGTCGTACGCTGATGGACGCTATTGGCCGCTGCTGGAGGCTGCCGCAAACGATCAACGCAGCATAAGTTCTGCGAAATGATTGCACGACAAGCAGATGCGCTTCCAGAATTCAAAAAGGTTCATAACGCTGCTGAATTTTGCTCACTCTTCAGTTCTAACTAACCCCCGCATTCATGACCATCCCACACCAAGTGGCCAACTACGTTGGAAATTCTTCTAAGAGCTTTATTTGGCATGCCACACTAGCTACAATAAGAGCTAATTGCGAGCTCCCTCCCTTTGGCACATTGTCGCTGAAAAAGGGGGGGGGAGGCGTTGAAAGGCGAGGACGGTATCTTTCATAAATAATTTTCAACGAAATCATGTTTGATAGAGTTACCTTCCTCTGGATCTTGCCCACATGACTCGCAGAAATCCTTGTTTTTACATATAATTTTATGCACAGGTAGATATGTAAGGTTGTTGTTGAGATCGCAACAATAATGTTGTTAATAGCATGATAAAAATTGACATATCTCGCTGACTGGAATGAACATGAAAATGAGCTTCACATTTAGGAGAAGGTCACCCTATGAATGCGCACCTCTTGTCCTGTCATCGGGTTGAAAAACCATGACACGTAATTGGAGTTGAAGGACGCCGGTGTTGTGAATAACATAATGAAAACAAAATAAATGATAGACAGAGTTATCGAGAAATACACGCGGTTTCCATCAAAAAGAGCTCTCAGCAGTTGGTTTTCTGACAAATCGGCGCAGCGATTCACTGTCAGGGATATGCACGTCAGGCAGCTGGCACACCAACACGCTGCAACATTAAATCAGCGATTGCTTAAGTTTTTAGTGTCTTCCTATTGGGCTGCGTCCAAACTTTGTGGCAACGTCCAACAGAGGTCACCAGCGTCCTCCAGCGATCATTAGCTTTTCGAGCGTCTATCAGCGTCAGCGACTGAGAAAGTAAGTTATCGATTCAGCGAACGGCAGCGTCTACTAGTGTCCGCCGACCACCGTCTCAAGCGACTACGAAAGTATAAATATCGATCTAGCGTATAGCAGCGTCTACCAGCGACCAGGTGTAGAGAGTATGGGGAAGTAAGAGGGAGCAAAGAGCTAGATTAGGGTCTTTAAGTTGTATTGGGTGCAACCGCACCGTACTACTGCACTATACCATACTACTGCTCGCTGGTAGACAATGGATAGATACCATACTTTCCTAGTTCCTCAAGCAAGACACTGATGGTCGCTGGTAGACGCTGGTGAACGCTGCCGTTTGCTAGATCGAATCTCTACTTCCCTAGTAGCTAACGCTGACGAATGCTGGAGACGCTGATGGAAGCTGTAGCCACTGGTGGATACTGCCGCAAAGTATGAACGCAACCTTCAGAAGGTATTGCAATCGATCTCTCTCTGCACTTGTTCACATAATTATAACCGCAGCGATTACTCTCGAATGCCATATATCTCTCTATATGTAAACCAGAAGTTTTTTTTTGTGTGTGTGTACGTCTGTCTGACTACTTGAAATTGGGGTTTCGTGGAAATTCACATCAATAGACCCGTTTGTGCTTAGAATAGACCTGGCATGGGCCAGCATTTGCAAAGCACACAAAGCCTCACCTAAACTCCGCCCACAATGGGCGGGGCTTTCGCCGAAGTGGACGAGGCCGAGAATAAAAATCCCCAAAATGCATCCGGAGCAGATCACGAAAGGAGGAAGGAGTGAAACTGAGCAGCGGGTAGCTAGATGAATGAGAGAGATACCCGTAAGCAGTATGTGGTGTACCAAACGGTTAAGTTCCCCCCCCCCCCGATAGTTCATAATTCGATTCCGAGGCACATAAAAGTGGCACAGACACATATGCCTCAGCGGATGGGGACCAAAATCAAGGATTATTACAACAATATATTTACTTATTTATTATTTGCCTGTTATTTACTGCACAAAAATCCAAGCAAATTCATATTCCCACTTCAGCCCAATCACTAATTTTCCGACTCCGACATACCACTCACCGCCCAAAGGGCAATGTCAGGACAGTCTATCAAGCACTCCCTATCTCTATATATGTAAACCAGAAGTATATGTAAACCAGAAGTTGTCTGGGTGTGTTTGTTTTGTTTGTCTGTCTGACCGCTTGACTAACCCCTTAGACCCCTTTCATTCGACAACTACACTAGTCAGGGTACCCTATAGGAAATTTCAACGACTCTCTTCTAGGGATCCGACTGGGCCTCAGTTGGAATGCCAGGGACCCACTTCACACGCCGAAGGCGGGCGATCCGATATACTCAAACTTGATAAGTGGTCAGAATGGCATAGACATGAGAGTGAAGGGAAAGACAGGAATTTTTAAAAAACAGGAAGAGTTGAAAAGGATCGATTTTGAGTTTTCCGTAGAACAACCAATCCTCCAATCTGGCTCGGGGTTAGTAGAAGATGATACAGTCGCATCTCATTAATGAAAGGCATCATTCTCGAGGTGCGAGGCGACCTCATTAAGCAGAGAACGCCTTGCTTAACTGTGATGTGACTTCGCTTTAAGGAAAGTTGTTGAAAGTTTTTGGTTGAAGTTGAAGCTACCCAGAAATCTTCATAAATCGATTGAAAACTGTCATCAGATCGGGAATAAAACATGAGGCTCACGAAAAAAGACGATACAAAATGCCAGCACTGTACTGTCAAACTGAATGGAATTGGCATTGGGTCTATCCGCTAACTGGTCATCAATGAAAAGCGTAGCCTATATCATTCAAACATTATAACGTGAAGCTGACATGAGCAGATTTGGCTGAAATTTCCTGAGGGAAGACTTGTGGGCCATCGCAATAGATATAAGGGAGCTATCGAGTGAGGGTGAGGCGGTTGCCTCTAGTCATTGTCCAGGGATGCCTGGCTATTAGCTCGCTATTAATCCGCTTGAAACAGGTTTGGAAATTTCAACTTACACTCCGACTCTAGTCTCATCTACGCATGATCTCATCCTTTATTGTAGTTTTTTGTAAAGGTAGATTCTGTTTGTCCCACAACCACACCACAACCGAAAGCTCCCAGTGTGAGAAGAAAGACAGGATTCGTGCAAAACACAGCTCCTTGTATTGCGAAGTAGCCGGTCATAATAGAGTTTGTAAAAATTGAAAACATATCAAGAAATCCCAGAAAGAACATAATTTTGTAGCAAGAGGCACTGAGCAGCTTCTGCTTGTACATAGCCACCAAACATGGGCAATAGAGTACCTGAAATTACGAATTTATAATTGAGGCATTACCTTTGCAGTTTAAAGGCTGTAGACCTATGTACCTCGAGCATGACGCCTGTAATCAGGAAATACAGCCCTATGGGCCAGTTAACCGATCCCGTTTTGTACCACTCTTCGAGGGTTTTCGTCGAGCAATCGTACAACGGAAGGTAGGGATGACGGTGAATTAGCGTGTATACGTATGCCGTTTCGAGATCAATAGACATTTATCCTGAAAAATACCGTATTCAGATTGGGAGGGAAAAGTTTTCCTGCTATTCGACGACTCGCTTCAGATTTCGTAGCCGCTTTGTGCAGAGACTGATCGTGGGAGTAACTTCTTCATCTCTTTCATGAGCCGCAGCTTCCTCCTTTATTTCGGCCTCGACAACCTTCATGCTCGAGCCAGGATGGAAGAAGAAAGATTTCAAGGAGTGATGGGGGTCGGTGCTGACCGTACAGGACATATCAATGGTTGGGAATTCGAACGAGTCAGAAGACCCCCTCCTAGGGGGTCACTTGATACGACCCCCGCCCTAGTTTCATCCTCCGATACGATCGAGCTGTCGAATGGTATACAGCACATGTGAAGCGGGAAACGCCGCGAGGGAAACAGAACCCCTCCCTCGCCTCTTCCCTATCTACCACTTTCATAGATTTCCCTAGCGAATTCCCACTACTTTTCCAGTTTTTTTTTCCGGAATTTTCCAAGGAAAACCATGCTTTTTCGCCGAAATTCCGCTGCTGCTGAGCGAGGGGGAGGGCTGATAAAGCATACATGAAACATGAAAAGCCACGACAAGCCAACGACATGGAGAAGTTCTTCTCCCAACGTCGCAAATTTCTTCCAACCTCCTCCTCTTCCAACAACGCAAATACGCCCCCCCCCCTAAAGCAGTCCGTGAAACAAGAAAAATTAACTATCAACCCTAGCGACCAAGTACACTCCTCATCCCTGAAAAGGGGGTAATATGGCATTCGAATATGGCACAGAACTGGGTACTAGTGAGCTATTCCAATCTGAGACAACCGCCATCATGTTCTTTGTTGAACAGAGACGAGACCGGGTTAAAATGAAAATATCACTCCAAAAGCACAGCCACCACGAGGTTTAGTTGAAGCACGCAGCCACGCCTACCTCATCTCAGGGATTTTGAGTGTACGACCCCCTTCTGTTGGCGAATCCCCAACGATGATGTGCTCTGTCCAGTTTTGTGCAGGATTATGCATGACTGCAGTTGTTTCAAAACCACACAATCTTACCAGAAGAGCAGCCGTTATCGATAATGAAGTACACAACACCATGTCCTTACTCCGAAATATCGAGTGTATATACACTCGTGGTTCAACATCTGCGCTGAAACCAGTAATTATCAAGTTTGGGTATGCAAGATCCCTGGTGCCAGCGAATCGTAATGTTCTTCTTTGAATCCCATGGTTCGTGAATTTCTTCCGCATCAGCTAATTTCAGTGCGCACAGGATGCCCATATGTTCCACATTTTCACGACTTGAAGGAATTATTCTGAGGTATCGGAACGAAATGCTGCTGTCAACAATGATTACGGTATCAACCTGAACCTTACACCATAAGAGCTGCTATGAGCACAATGACATCGGGTAAGGCAAGGGTCGTAGATATCAAAATGCGTGCTGCATTCCAGTCTGCTGGAGCGAAATGCTTTCGCTATGGACTTTAGCAAGAAGCGTTCCCAACTGAAACGTAGAAGCACAGAGCAGAAACGGTCTGGAAAAAAGTGTGATGCTGCTGTCAACAAGAGAGCTCTAGGAACCTTATGCCCCACCGTCATACAGCGACTTTGCAGTTGATTAGAAAGAAGGAGTTGACGTTCGGGGCGGAGCTTAATAATCCCTGCAGATGACTGGTGCTTCAGTATGGTCAGAGCAGAGGGGTTTCCCGGTAAGCTTGTAAGCTTTCAGAACAATTACACAATGGGGAAGTTATTTAACCGATAACCCTAGCGAGAAAGAAAATCACTGTTTATAAGAGGGGATAGCAGGCTACTGTCGCTTTCTCAAGTGATCGTTAACGAAGAAAATTACGGCTATTCACATGTGACACGCGTGTGTGAAAACTCGTATTTGACACGAAATTCCAAAAGCGTTTTCACAACAAGAAATCCCTCGTAAAATAATTATGGCACATTGCAAACTTAGTACGTTTTCCTCCTTTTCTCTTCTTTCAACGCCCTGTTCCTGATGGAGAAGTGGTGGTTCAAGGAAGGGGTACTCTCGCCTCTCTAGCACAATTTCACATAATAGCGCGCCCAGTGCAGCTGTGTGGCACAGAGGAAGTAGCGAAGGTGCCTGCACCATGCGACAAGCTACAGAATCAGTACATCCTCTGTGCTTTGGCCAAGGTGGTCCTGCCCACAAGCGCAGAAGATGTACCGATTCCTAGCTTAAATATACGGGAGGAGGGCGAAGCCCTGCTCGCTGCCTAGTGCAACACTCAACACTCATTTTGAAGGTTTACCTGCGTTGGGGTTGTTTCCTTCTAACTTTCTTTATTTTGAAGGATAAAGGTGACGATGACAAGGGAAAGAGCTGATACCAGCAAGCGGTAACTTGCCCGACTACGCCTTGTCTTTGCTTCAGGCGCGTTCGAGCTCATTTCAGCATGGGGTCCTATTAATGCATTTCCGATTATTTTTCCTGCTTCATTACTAAGTTGGCACCTTCCCATTTGAGCTGCACTGGGATGGAGGGTGGTGATCCCTGTTTCTCGACTTTGCCCGCTCTACTGCACGCCCGGTCACACATTTAAGCACAGCCAGACTCTTACTTGTCTGCGCTCCATCACTTTTGGTTGTTCTAGCTAAGTGCGTACTGCGAGACCTTGGTATCAACTCCGCTGCACATTCATGAGAGCGTGAACCGTTCTGGAGGCAGCACCCGAGCACAACTGCCCTCCTGTACCATTTTGCTTTTTTTTGCTTTTTAGCGAAGAAAACCGTCCTACTGAAGCTGCGCATTCATTCACAGCGCTCATGGCAAGGGCCCTTCTCGTAGGCAAGTTACGGATTGTATTTCGAAAGCATAAAGATGTCAGATGTGCTTCAACCAGATTAATGAATACAACTATGTTCCACTCTTGCCGCCTTTCTGCTATGTTTTATGTGTTACGAACCTTTTAAAGTGATGATTTACATTCCACTGCGAACAGAGTTCTGCAAAAACACCAGTGAGTCCTCAGAATAGCCCATGTTCCATTCTTACAATCTGTGCATGATGTATATCACTGAGCAACTTTATTAAAGGCATACATTTCGGCGCCTTCGCCTTCGTCAGAGCCTGAAATGGTCAAAAAACATTTCGAGACCTGCTCGCTCAAACATTTCAACAATACTCAAGACGATTTCCACATACCAGTAAATCACACAACGATATCGATCTAAGGCGGAACGCTGGCTTACCTTGATCTTGGACGCGTGACTCGGGGACGACCACCCTGTAGAGGCTCAAGCGTGGAGTAAGAATTACTAGTAACTAACCTCGACCTTTCGGTAGGTCAAAACTTGCAGAGGTCGAGAAAGGCTGCGAGCTCACGCGTTATGACCACACACTCTTCCTTGCGATTCATTTGTGGGTAATGGCCGTGATCCAAGAAGCCTCCAGCGTCTAGCGCGCCGTGATCTCGACTTCCTGCGCTAAGATGGTCACTGCTACGTCGAATGACGTGCCTCCATGGTGTTGACTACGGTGTACCTTTAGGCTGCGTTTATACTTTGCGGCAGCGTAGCGTAGCGTAGCGCTTCCAGCGTACGCCAGCGGCAGTGTCGGGGAAAGGATAGATATCGATCTAGCGTTCCCAGCGCTTGCAGCGACGGGCTAGAGAGGGGCTAGAGAGTATTGAAGGGAGGAGAGTATTTTGTGCCTCCTACATTCAATACTCTCTAGCCCCGTCGCTGCAAGCGCTAGCGGGGCTAAAAAAAGTCCGGGAGAGCACCGCGAGGATCCCTGGCAGTCACACTGTACGAGTTGTCCGGTCCTGCTCATTTTGTGCCAGCAAAGCGATATGCTGCCTCCTCTGGTTCATTGACAGGGTATAGCATCGTTGTGCGGAACCCATAAGGGGTTGTGCGGAACCATATAGGGTTGGCTTTGGGGAGGAGGGAGGGGCCGTAATCTCAAGGATCAATCAGCGCTGAACGCTCTGACATTTCATTTGATAGTGGGAGTGGAGTTATGAAAGCCAAGATGTTGAAAAAAATGAGAATTATTACGAGTGTGTTTTTTGCAGAAAAAAATGGAAATTATTATGAATGTATTCTTTACAGATTTAACCGCTACGTTCATCAGCCTTCTTTTCGTGCCCAGAATGGCGATCCTGCTTGGCCGCGGCGGACGTGGGGAGGATCGCAAACCTAGGCTCGCTAAGCATCAAACAGCACAAATGTGTATTGCCAAGTTTGGTTGGAGCGGACGGAAAGCCGCAGAAGACTTGGGTGTGAAGAAGACTACAAAATCCTACTATATTTATATGATGGTTTATTACTTCTGAGTCAACGAGGTTTTTAGGTGGAACTTTATTCACGGCCTAGCGTTTCGACCATATCGTCGTCCTCAGAGGCCTAAACGTAGCTCAAGACTTTTGGTTTGCTCTCTACACCGCCAAACGCCTCGTCTCCCTAACGTTTTCTAAGGTACTTCCAGAAACAACCGAAAAACCAGCCCGTAGGCAAAAACATACTCACCAAGTCCACCGCCGCATGAGCGGATCAAGCCGCTTCACTAGATGTTAGTAAGTAAGTGAGACTCACTGTGCCGTCCTTGTATGCAGCTATCAGGACTTGCACGTCTCATAGTCCATGTAATGTTTTGCCTACGGGTGGTTTTTCGGTTGTTTCTCATAGCTCATGTAAGCTATGAGACGTGCAAGTCCTGATAGCCGCTATACTGCAAGTCCTGATAGCTTCTATACAAGGACGGCACAGTGAGTCTATCTGACTTTACTAACATCTAGCGGCGTTGATCCGCTCATGCCGCGGTGGACTTGGTGAGTATGTTTTTGCCTACGTGTGGTTTTTCGGTTGTTTCTGGAAGTACCTTAGAAAACGCTAGGGAGACGAGGTGTTCGGCGGTGTAGAGAGCAAACTAAAAGTCTTGAGCTACGTTTAGGCCCCTGAGGACGAGGGGTCGAAACGCTAGGCCGTGAATAAAGTTCCATCTAAAAACCTCGTTGACTCAGAAGTAATAAACCATCAT